TAGTTTAGTCTTTCTCATGCTCAATACTCTCCCGCTTTCCGGAATTTAACGAGGGGAACATGGTGAAGAAAAAAAAAGTAGTTGACTGTTCAATTCATGCTATTAACAGAAATCTGGCTTAAGGCGGATGGACAGAGGAAAGCGGGAACACAAGGAGGGGAATAAGGGAGCAATGTTGGCCACCGCGACAACTAGCATTTGCTACGTTTGTTTTCGTGCGGTTTTGTTGCTGAAAATTGTAATAAGAGTAACCTTTGTTTGCCTTGCGTGTGTACTGCACTATTGAGCGCTGGCAGTGTTGGATCGAGGGAAGGTATCACGAAGCGTCCTCCGATGCCCGGGATTTCCTTCTCGGTAGCGCCAGTCAGTCGGATACGTGTGTGTCGTCCTTTCGGTATGAACAGCGGTGGAGGAATCGGCCGCTCTTCCACAATCTACGAAACCGCCTGCTTTATTCCTTGCTGACCTGCGCTTTTTTAGTTTCAACAAGAAAATACCACGATCATAAGCAGCGAGATGGCATCAGTGATATGCATTGCGCAAATGTACGGGTCATAACAGTCTGCGGACTAACCTGCTTCACTTTATAGTCAATTGGCTTGAGGCGTGATGTTTTGCGCCGGTTTTTGGCGGCTGCAAGTCTCGGGTACGTGGTGATTGGGTTGCCACGGGCGCCGCTTCCGGATCGTTGTGCGGCGCTGAGCACGGATGGTCGGCTGAGCCTCTCCACCAGCGCCTCGTTTTGGAATATGCCAGCAAGTGCCGGATTGTTGCGCAGATTGTCGAGCACACGTGAGTTCCCTATCTCCTTCTCTTCGCGTGCTGCGAGTAGTGTACCTGAAGAGGGATCAGCGTTCGGTTTGCTCATCGTTAGCTTACACTGGTGGTACCGACGTATATGTGCAACCTCCAAGGCCAATTTGATCAACGTGGGATGACGGAGTTGTCAAACGGCTCCTTTATCAGCAGCCCCACACTGCTAATTTTCCCTGCTTTGCTGCCTTAAACAAATGCAACCCCACACTGCTAATTTTCCCTGCTTTGCTGCCTTAAACAAATGCAACCCCACAATTCGACCTACTTCCCTCCTCTCACTAATCCTTAATACTTCGACCTACTTCGCTGCACTCACTAATTTCTAAGAGTTCCGTCAAATTCTAAGTAATCCCATATTCCTATCGTCTCACTTACCAACTCCTTGCTCTCCTCTTCTCTCCATTAATTTTCCCTATTAAACCCCTTCCGAAAACCCTGCTCCTCAGTCTCGGAATCAACGTACTTCACTGGTCTGCCATGTCTTGCCACAGCTAACACAACTAACTGGCC